ACATTACCAGTTCAACGATATGATGAAGGTTTCAAGCCAATCGGCTGAGGGGAATATTTCATTTTTGTGAAATTTGTTATAGAAGCCTCGTGCTGAGTAGGAAACCTCTATTATCTATCGGAAATACCCTATTTCCGAGATACTGCTGTTCATCAATTCCGATAACTGTCCGAAATAAAATATTGCGAACTTGATAATCTAGGTGTTTCCTTCCTAGTAAATCATCTGTACTAGCAGACTCTACATGGTCGTTCATTGACCAGCTGCTTCAGCAAGCGGTTGTATTGAAGTTCATATTCACACAAATATTATCTCAGAAATGGTGATAAATATATGACTGTCAACAGAACGCAACTGAAAGACAGTGAACTTTTATTAATCAAGTACGTGCGAGAAAAGTAATGGTAGACATCGAATACAATTTGATAGTTTGTGAGATACAATAATTCAATCTGACTTCTTTGAGAACATCGCTTATTGTTGCAGATATGATATGTTGTTGAGATATCCTCCTTGATAGACTGGAGATTAGGTAGTTTGCAATTTCTAAATAGAATTGCTTGGTTTATTATTTCAATGTGTGATTATTTTCATGTGAATCGCCGTTTTATCTGTGATCTTTACTCTACTTTTATAATACATGTTATGACACTTGCTCTGGTATGAATGTTGACAAGACTTAAAGACTGTCATACGATTTAAAATTTGATCAATGTGTATTTTTTACCGTGGATACTAATTTCACCCCATCACCTTCAAATTATTGATCAAATTAAACTGAAAATTGTCGGGTTTATATAGACGTTTAAAGTGTTTGATCAGTTCTCTATAGTTTGAGGATTCAGTAAGACAATTAACGTGATTATATTTGACGAAACCATATATTCATTGTTTACCAATCATGACAGTAGAAGAACACATTGTTATACAGCATTCATTAGGTTGTTAAGAACATGAGCTGAATTTTATGCAATATCAGTTTAAATTCGTGACTTTTAATGATGAAAGGTACCTCAGGCGATTGGTTAACTTATAGTTCAAGCTGTTTTGTTTGTATGTCAAAATTTTGCACAGATTTGTAATCTTATCAATAACGAAAAGACATTTCATTCAATATCAGGCAATTGTCAGCTTGTATAGGTAAATAAACCACCAAAATAAATAGCCATGTAAGTTTTCTACATGTGTGCTGACCACATGTTTTAATGGACTCACCTAGCTGAAGGTGCTCGGTCATGCATCCGCACCAGATCACAAGTGTGAAAGCCGTGATCATTAACCCCTGCAGTCCCTAACCAGATTAAATCAGACGATTCTCGATAAATTGATAGCATATAAAAAATATCTTCGAACTTCCTCGCTTCTGTCTTTTGGTTTCACTTGGTGGGTACAATTCATATAGAATGCGTTACTAGTTAAAGCGTTATTAAATTCTGAATACCTGTGGCATCTTCAAAATTTCACTTTTTTGTCAAATAAACTTATTGCAACACCTTGTGTTTAGTAATCTACATTGTACCAAACTCACAATACTGAATGAAGACTATAGAAATAATATTACTAATAAATTTTTCAATGCGATTTCATGATGACCATTCATTGAAACAATTGGTTGGTTACAAGTAGTGTGCTCCAGTGTTTATTATCAATTCACGCAAAGATTATTCTTCGTTAAATGATTTCATTCTTCTCCAATACATCTTCAACGGAGACCAATAAACACTTTGTACATATAACCAATGCGTAAACATTTCAATTTCGAACCGGAAACAGCTGCTTGTTTCAAATACAACCAGTTTTAACAATCAATGAAAATGTAGAGAGTACAAGTTATGGCGAAGCGCGATTTGATCTGATGTATAATGTTCTACTGACATTATTTGCATAAATTGATATTTGGCTGTACTTAATGGTTAGTTTATTATGAATTATCTGAATTAACTAGATGAAAAAACTGAACAAAATCAGAAACTTGCTATTCAAGATTACATGTATTACTCACTTGCTTATGCACATCTCTCACACCACGTCAAGAAGAATGGGACGCTCACCAGCACTCTCCATCCATTCCTGTTGTTTCCAGTTGGTGGTTATCCTATTGATTTCTGCTTCCATTTCATGACACAGTGATTCTGAAACTTCCACTTCTCTGCTGCTTGTAGGATTCTGAATTGGCGCTTGCCTTGTGATGCGTTTTGATGATTTATGCTAAATATGTCTCATTCACCCTCAATGTCTTCTCAAATTCCCCTCCGACTGTGGGCTGGTTACTTAAATTTTAAAAAAAGGCTCTGTCTGCCGGTATCTGTTCAACGACTATTGAGCTTCTTGCATAAGCAATGATTTATAAATACTTGGATTCTTCTGATGAAGATTGTAGTAGTAGTAGTAGTAGTAGTAGTAGTAGTAGTAGGATTGTGATGCGTGCTACTTATTTTGATGTAATTAGTACATCACGCGAGTTAAAAACGCAATGGCTGGCAGCAGACGATGAGGAAAGATCGAGAAAAGAAGAGCGACAACACAATGCAATTTGTAAGGAAACGCATGAACAACGAAATGTGAGGCAATGGATTGATGCTTGCAACAGAACAGTCCAGGTTGATATGATACATTGAAATTTTGCAAATTAACGATCTGCTATATGGTTTTTCTATTTTACCAAGTAACTCTGTAATTATGTACTAGATACAATTCGATTGTTCCCACCCGTGTTCTTTTGACTACAGTAGTAGTAGTAAAACAAGTATATACACGAATGCATCACAACATCCTAAATCAATTTTGTGATGGCTTGAAGGATGATGGATGTTGAATTCAAGACTCAGATAATTTGATTTTATATCCATTATTCACAGTGGTCAATTGTTCGAAAGAGTTTATTACGAACATTGGACAATGTCAACTTTAGTTTGCACTGTGACTCCTAAACTGGTGTGATACTGCAATTTTGCTTCAAGTAGTGTAAAGGTATAACTGACGTTCAATATTTAAGCAAAGTTTCTTCAACACTCCAATGACATTTTCATCAACTAACGTTGCAAACAAAACAACTGAACAACATTAACATTAAGAAACCTATATTGCATCACTGTGAAAGAATACAGGAATGTTTGGGATTGACATGCTGATAACCGAGTACAATCGTATGCGTACCTAAAATTCAGTGTTCCACCACAGCACATCAGTACTCAATATTTGTTCAGCAGGGTTTGTTCACACATGGAATTCGGACATTTAATTAGTTGCGGAACTCATGGATATTTCAGTCGATCGACTGACTCTGATAATGGTGTTTTTTGTTATAAACGCGAAACTAAGAGCTTATTATAAATTGTTTCAACAATTTCTAAACTGCAGCACGTCAGTGATCACCGTTCAAGCAATACTGTTCAAAACGACATCATCACCACTCCTTCTGAACAAAACATACAACAAATAATAACTCCGTCGACACTACCTATACGCTTGATTATTTGTCGTGGTCTAACAGTCAATTGTATCATGCAGTGTGTGACAAACTTACTCTCAAATCATTTAGTCTATTTTTGAATAGATAATCTTGGTCAATTTTCTCTCACGGGAAACTGAGTTCGTTTAACAGTATCATACTTAAAGTCATTTTCGCGCCTGTGGATCGGACTGAGTTTTGCACTAATTTCACATCATCAATTGGTTCATTATACTTTGGAAAATAAACGTGGTTACAATCATAGCATTGACAACTCTTGAATTGTAGATTGATCTCTCCATTCAAAACCGTAATAACTGCGAATGACCGTAATGGAATATGACTAAAGAACCAAGGCGCATATAGTTGACATATGTTATTCTCTCGCGTTGTCTACCGCTCACAAACCCAGCACCTTATTTAGCCGTGAATCGGTCGACTTTGTCTAACTACACAAATGATGCAGTGGTCTACGTTCGTTATCTTGAAATTGCATGCACTTTATAACGAGATTTGAAAACGTGCGAATTCTTCATAATTTATCTGTTTGAATGTTAAATGAAAATACGTATTATCATATAAATTAAACACTGCAACGTTTTGTAAATAGGAATTCATATTTTCATAATCGTGGAGTATATTATATGAGAGCCTAATTAAAAACATCATAGTTTCGTTGACCTCAGTTGTTTTTGTTTTGTAGAAATATCAATTATCATACTTTCTTGTTGTCTATCACCATATTCTATCTAATTGATCAATATAATATGGTATTCTCTATAGTGTTGTTAGGTGAGCGTGATATGCATCTGAAGTAGAATAATGATAGTCGCTCTCTAATGATGCTTTCATATGACTGACAATCAGAAACACATACAGAGCGAAGATGAATGACCTTTTCATTTTACTAACGATTGCCACTTTTCTGAAAACAAAATGATGTGAAAACAAATGCTTTGTTTATCGATTCATAGAATGTCTTGCTTCTGCTATGAACAAGCACTGTAATCACTTATCATCTAAATTCAAATGCGTTAAGTGACCGTTTTCTCACCGAATCATCTAGTTTTCATTTTATCAAATAATTGGACTCCTATTAGAAATCTCAAGGCATCTCTTGGCGCATGTGTCCTGACTATGGTAGTGTGATCATTCGACCTTATGACATATTCCCCATCACGTTTCGTATACTGTATGGCATGGCTCAGGCTTGCAGGCGTTGTGTTCCTTATACAACTTGCCTCTTTATTCATATTGTTTTCTCTCTCCAGTCGAAATGTGTTCTTCTGAATTTGATAACATCCTATTGGTGAATGTAACGGAAAGAGAACAGTGAAAATCCCTCTGCAGCTTCTTTGTTGAACAGTATTTTCATTTATTTGTTCCTTCTCCCTTTTGTGTATTCCAACCTTTGTTTCGATCTCGTTTAACCATGTCTTTTGTTCTTCAGTCTTCCCCGTTTGAGCCTTTATTACGTGATTTTGATTAAAGACTTATTTTTGTTACCTAATTTTCTATTGCATGTTGCCGGACCATTGACAGTAAGGTTGTGTTTGACTAAGCTCAAGGTCACGGCGTGGTTCAGTTTGTGACTGTTAACCTTCTGACTGTCTGCTTGGGAGAATTGCTGCAATCCCTGCAGATAGATATTTGATCCCATCTGATTGGGAATATTTGTATTGATTCTCAGGTATCAAACCCTTTAGTATTAACTGTCTCTTTCATTGTTTAGCGCGCTACTTTGCGTTAGAGAAACTTCTGACTGTATAGCACAGGCTGTACCGTTTGAGGTATTTTGTATTTTTGATGTAATTTGTTCTGTTTTCTTAATTAGAACCGTTTATATTGAGCACAGAGTTTGTGTTTTGATATAATATAATACGAGTATCTCAAAGACGCGTTGTGGGCTATACAGAGGAACTTGGTCTGGTCTAATCGAATAAATTTTGGGTTCGTCAGTCCGTAGTTCCAACCGAATATTGGCTGTTCGGTCGTTACAGTTCTCAAACGAACAGTAATCTCAAGTGACAAATTCCGGAATGCCTGGAAAGCGCAATAAGGTCAACGAAAACTTGGCATTGGGCCACGGAGAAATGCAACCGGATGCACCTCCAGATGTACGGCAAGTCAAATTAGATGCATTTTCATGTCATGGCTCTAATGTTAGTTTAGTGAGTAGACGTAGTAAAGTTAGCTCTAGGATTACCTTAGCAGAGTTGAAAGAAAGACAGTTATTAGAAATGAGAGACTTGAAAGATAGACAGAGGAAACAACTACTGTGCTTTCAGAGAGAGTTTGGGTCGTTAAGGCTGAACGAAAGCACGTGTAGTAAGTTATCTTCTGTTTCTAACTGTGATGACAGAGAAAAGGAGCACGCTCACAGGTTCGTAAGTCCTTCTCATGACCTTAGGACAAAGTCTCTAGAAAAGTCAAAATTGCTAGATTATCCGGGAACGAAGAGGAAGGAAGTGACCTTGGAATCTCTTAGTGTAGGTCTTGAACTTCCAAAGGTAGAGCTAAGTACCTTTGATGGACAACCAGCTAAATACTGGAAATTTATTAGACAATTTGATTTATATGTGGTTTCCAAGGTTGATGACGATGGTCAACGGCTCATGTACTTGTTACATTATTGTAAAGGCAAGGCTCGAGAGGCCATAGAGGAATGCATAATGCTTCCACCGTCGTCGGGTTATCGTAGAGCGTGCGATATATTGAAACGGTTGTTCGGTAGAACACACGAAATATGTCGGGCTTTGATGAAAGATTTAACTGAAGGTCCTGATATTGCGCATAATGACGCAGAAAGTCTATCTAGACTAGCGATAAAGATGGAAAACTGTTCTATAACCTTAGAACAAATGGATTATTCAACGGATCTCAACTCCGTAGTGACAATAGAAAGTATAGTAAAGAAGTTGCCCACGGTTTTACAGATGAGATGGGCTGAGACAGTAGGAAAGGTAACAGCAAATGGAAGAGAGCCTACTTTTGCTGAGTTAACAGAATTTGTGTCATCTAGAGCGGAAATATTGCTTAGCAGATTCGGACAGATTGCAACTGCTAGTAAACGAGTTGCAAGCAAGGTGGCCTGTTCCACACAAGGTCTGTCGTTCGGTAAAATCGTTAGCAAGTCACCTTGTGTTATATGCGGAGAAACTCATAGTGTGGATAAATGTTTCCAGTTTTCAACCTTAGCAGTCAACGATAAGTGGGCGAAAGCAAAAGAAAAGGGCTTGTGTTATTGTTGTCTTCGAAAGGGCCACAGATCTGTGGATTGTAAAGATCGTGTTGTGTGTACTGTCGAAGGTTGTCGGGATCGGCATCACCCATCGTGGCATAAAACCATCCGAGTTCAGAGTGGTTCGAATGAGTGCTTAAAAGAAAGTCATTGTGGGTACACAGAGTCATTAAAAGAGGATGTGTTTCTGGGTCTGATCCCTGTACGCCTTAGAGCTGGGGACAAGGAAGTTTCTGGATATGCGTTTCTAGACAATGGCTCAGATACGACCCTAATCAAGTTAAGTACCGTACGACGTTTAGGATTATCGTCAGATGGGGCGTCGATTACCATCAAAACGGTCAACGGAAATAAGTTAAGCAGATCGACCACTAAAGCCTTTAAAGCTTACTCATTGAACGGAGACGAATGTATATGTATTGAACAGGCTGTTGTAGTAGACGATTTGCCGGTACATCGACCAAGAGTACCTGTGAAGGACAGCGCCAAGAAATGGTCTCATCTTATTGACTTACCTTGGACAGAATCAGTGGATGGTGAAGTTATGTTGCCTATTGAGTTTGACGTGCCTGAAGCGCATTGGGTCCTAGATCAAAGATTGGGTGGAAGAAAAAGCCCATATGCTATTAGGACACTCCTAGGGTGGGTTCTGTTTGGACCGGCAGGCTTCAGCAAAAACAGTAAAAGGATGGTAAATTATATTTCTCAATCTTACAACCCTGTAGAGCAGATAAAGGAAATATATAACTACGAATTTGCTGACGTGCACTCCTCCGATAAAGCATTATCTTTAAATGACTTGAAAGCAGTTGGCATAGTGGAGCGCGACACTTATTTTCACCAGCCTCTGAGTGATAGTGTTGTGTCCTCGTGGAACGAATGGGTCTCGTTTGTGCGGAGGCTCGGAACGATCAGTGTTCCTCGAAGCATTATAAATGAAAACAGAAAGAACTTTAAGGCGATTGAGCTGCATTTATTTTGTGACGCCTCTGAATCTGGTTACGGTGCGGTAGCTTACTCGTGGAACATCCCTAAGCACCAAGCACCATACAGCGTTCTACTCTATAGTAAGTCTAGAGTGGCACCTATAAAACAGGTGACTGTGCCTAGACTGGAACTAGCAGCGGCAGTATTGAGTGCTAGAATGGGGGAAGTTTTAAATAGGAACCTTCCTCAGGTGTTTGACAAGACTCACTTCTGGACGGATTCTATGATAGTACTGTACTATATAAAAAATACAGATAGTAGGTATTCCACCTTCGTGGCTAATCGTCTGGCCGCTATTCATCATTTAACATCTGTGGACCAGTGGGGGCACGTAGAATCCAATGAAAATCCTGCTGACTGGACATCACGAGGCATACGGAAGGAGCTAGATTTAAAGAACTGGATTGAGGGTCCTTCCTTCTTGAGGAAGAGGGAGTCTGTAGGAACACTAACGCTTATGTGCGAAAACCCCCCAGAAAATGTTGAATTTAAAAGATGTCACACGACCAACGCAGTTGCGCTAAAACATAGCTTAAGTCCAATTCTGCTATATCACTCAAATTGGATAAAGCTGATTAAAGCGGTAGCATGGCTCAGAAGATACGTGACCTATATAACCATCATGTACTCCCATCACAATGACAGGTCCCTAAGTGTGGGCTATCTGTCAGTTGATGAATTGGATGCAGCTAAACACAAGGTATTAGCCTTAGTGCAAAAGGAAGTGTATGGGGAAGCAGTAAAAGTGTCTCGATGCAATGGCGTAAGCGCAACTGATATAAAAGAGCTAAAAAATCTTTCACCTACGCTAATCGATGGATTGCTTTGTGTCGGCGGACGATTAAATTACTCGGATTATCCACTCTCAATCAGACATCCGGTAATTTTACCCAGTCATCACTTCGTAACAGAACTTATTATTAGACACCATCACCACCTAGAAGGTCACACCGGGACATCACAAGTGTTAGCTACCATACGACGAAATTATTGGATTGTTAAAGGAACCAGTGCAGTTAAACGAGTGATAGGTAGATGTGTGAGGTGTATACGCGCGAAAGCCACATTAGGCCAACAGATGATGGCACCTCTCCCCAAGTGTCGAGTGCAGCAAGGCTGGTTTTGCTTCTCCTCCGTCGGGATAGACTATTTTGGGCCGTTGATAGTTCGTCGGGGAAGAAGTGAGGAAAAAAGATATGGATGCCTATTTACGTGTCTCCAAACACGTGCCGTACATTTGGAAGTAGCTTTCAATTTGAGTACTGATGCTTTTATAATGGCTTTAATACGTTTCATAGGAAGGAGAGGAACTCCTAAGGAAATCTATAGCGACAATGGAACTAACTTTGTCGGGGCTACTTCCGAATTACGGGCTAATATGAGTGTGTGGGACAAGCATAAAATAAACGACTTAACAGTATCGAAGGGTATACACTGGCATTTCAACCCCCCACTAGCTAGCCATCGAGGCGGAGTTTGGGAGAGATTAATACGGTCTGTTAGGAGGATCTTACTATCTATTTCCAACGGGCAAATATTACACGATGATAGTTTGGCAACTTATTTTGTGGAGGTAGAACGAATTTTAAACAACCGCCCAATCGTTCCTGTGACGTCAGATGAAAAGGATGATTTGGCGCTCACGCCAAACACTTTGTTATTACTAAGAGACTGTGATGGTTTAGGAATGGAGTGTAGTGTTGCGGATAGGTATTCAAAGCGATGGAGACAGGTCAATTGTTTAGCCAATACCTTCTGGCGTCGATGGATAAAAGAGTACATTCCTTTACTGCAAGTGAGGCAGAAATGGTTTTGCAAACACAGAAACTTAAAAGAAGGTGATGTAGTTCTAGTGGCTAACGATGCAACTACTCGGGGTTCATGGCCAATGGGACGGGTTGATAAGTGCGAGACAGATAGAGATGGGTTGGTAAGAACAGTGATGGTGCGAATGAGAGAAGGTGTAGTAAGAAGAGATGTGCGAAAGCTCTGCCTTCTAGAGGGAGCCGAGTAATTGTAGATTGTAGCTTAGGTTTATGGATGTACAGGCGTACTGTTGTAAGTCCTGTGCCTCCCATTGATATAGAGCAGTTAGTAAGGAGAGCCATGACGGAAATGTATTCTAAGGTGTCTTTGCGTAGCTGGAGGGATTTTGGGGGCCGGTGTAACGGAAAGAGAACAGTAAAAATCCCTCTGCAGCTTCTTTGTTGAACAGTATTTTCATTTATTTGTTCCTTCTCCCTTTTGTGTATTCCAACCTTTGTTTCGATCTCGTTTAACCATGTCTTTTGTTCTTCAGTCTTCCCCGTTTGAGCCTTTATTATGTGATTTTGATTAAAGACTTATTTTTGTTACCTAATTTTCTATTGCATGTTGCCGGACCATTGACAGTAAGGTTGTGTTTGACTAAGCTCAAGGTCACGGCGTGGTTCAGTTTGTGACTGTTAACCTTCTGACTGTCTGCTTGGGAGAATTGCTGCAATCCCTGCAGATAGATATTTGATCCCATCTTATTGGGAATATTTGTATTGATTCTCAGGTATCAAACCCTTTAGTATTAACTGTCTCTTTCATTGTTTAGCGCGCTACTTTGCGTTAGAGAAACTTCTGACTGTATAGCACAGGCTGTACCGTTTGAGGTATTTTGTATTTTTGATGTAATTTGTTCTGTTTTCTTAATTAGAACCGTTTATATTGAGCACAGAGTTTGTGTTTTGATATAATATAATACGAGTATCTCAAAGACGCGTTGTGGGCTATACAGAGGAACTTGGTCTGGTCTAATCGAATAAATTTTGGGTTCGTCAGTCCGTAGTTCCAACCGAATATTGGCTGTTCGGTCGGTACAGTGAATCTCGCGATGGCTTGAATCATTGTGAACAATGGTATGTCTTAAAAAGTGTACAACTTAACGATAAGTTCCTAGTGCTCTTTAGTTGCTAGCTCAACCATATCTATTATGAATCAATAGCAATCTTAAATGGCACCTACATGCTTCCGTGAAACAAAGTAATTATAATATCAAGTATCAGCAAATACGACTATTAAATTACTTCCATATCTATTTTCCAGCAACGTGAGCATGTATTGAATGGTTATCTAAACCTAATTCCCCACTTAACATTTCACTCTGTTTCAAACTATTCATCATCCTGTAATACCTTTTCCATCGACCATTGCCAACCTGATTACCAACTTCCCAGTTTAATTGTCAAACAGAAATGACATTACCTCAGAAACTTACAATCAGTTTAAGCCATGTATGTTCTGCAATCTCAATGTCATTTTCGATATTTCATGCAATGACAGGCGTATAATTATTTAAAATCATTCAATTTTTGTGGCTCGGTGTGAAGATAAGCTCCACACTTTGCAACACCACGGAATTAGCTGCCATACACCTTGTTTAATCTGGATACTTTTGGATCATTTCTGATTGACACTAATGGCCATATATATGCCAAATGTATTGAATAATCTAAATTCCGAAAATAATCCAGGCGAGTTTAATTATTTTGCTGGATGATTTACCGTTTTTTTGCTTAGGATGTATATGCCTATCAGTATATATATATTTCGATCAAACCAACCATAAAACATTTTCGGTGTTGAAATTTTTCGAAAAATTCATATTACAGCATACCACCATGAAAACGTGTTCTATTCGCAGACTAAACACATTGCATTCAAAAATCCTCTAATATTTCCTAGTTTTTATTATCCTTGCCTATAGTTGATAAACGTCACTGAGCAAATCAACAATTGAGAGTGTGTACCAAAAAATACAAGTCTCAAACTGACGAAGTAAAGATAGCTCACATCAGAGCTGGCTCTCATTACCGTAGAATTCATGTTTCTTTCGATATTATTAGAAATGAGGCTCGCTGCGGTAATGCTGAACATTGCAGGTTAGATACATTGTGAAGTTTTCGTGCCTCTATGTAACCCTTGTGCTCTTGATAGAAGAAAAAAGACAAGTAGTGAATAGGTCTTTATTTAGATCTTCGCGCAGTCACAGTGGAGCGTGGGATTATTTGTTCAGACAAACAAAGCCTCTCAACATTCAGTATAAGATAATAGGAAATATGACACCTTTACAAAATAGGGAAGTGAATGAATACTTGAACTATACTGTTTTGGCATACGCTTAATTGTTTGAGGTCAACTCTTAACCAACCAACCTATGCTGTTACATTAGCTTCCCCCTAGAATCCACTTCCGTAGAAACGTCGGTTCGATTAACCTATTCATCGAAAACACCTTAGTTCTGTTTTCTCAGCCCAAGGGAAAATTATCGACTCGCTCACCGTTTGATTTCTAATCAATGACGACGAACTTCGTCAGCAATGAACGATAGTCCGTGGATGTCTCTTCATTTGCAAGTTCGTCATCTTATCTCGTAGCATGTGATTTCTTCTACAATTGTCTCTGACGGTTTGCTACGTGCTCGCAAAAGAGTGTGGGAATGTGGAACACGAATATGTGAAAAAGTGAAGCGAACGGGCCGCCCAACATCATGTTGGTGAGGCACGATTTTTCCATGCTGAGACCGGCTATCAGGTGTCAACTCACCTGCCTCTTGAGTCGCCCTCAAGTAAAAAGTAAGAAAGAATCTAACTTAAAGGTAATGGTGAAAACCAATCAAACCTGAAGATATGTTCCACTGTCTGTATAAAATAAAAGAGATACAAAATGATAATACATAAATATAATTGATGGTTGTTCGGTTCCACGTAAGTGATTGGCCTCCAGAACGGATTGGTATTCTGAAAAGAAATAGACATAGTGTAGACATCTTGTGTACGATAAAGTATGAAATTGAAAAACCACTCTTTCATAATGCATATATGCAAAGTTGTAAACTTGCTAGAAGTCTTCGCGCGCGCTATTTAAAAAAGGACAGTGGTATTTTTCCTCGCTGAGTAATTTTCATTGTTTTGATCGTTTATTACGTATCAAGACTACTGTTTTTCACTTTAATTGAATTTATTTCAGTTAAAGTATTTGACTTAAGTATCGTTTTTACTGTTTTTGTCGTTGGTACTTTTTAGTACCTCTTTTTCAACTGTATCTGTTAGTACTTTTGGTCCTAGCAATCTACAGCTCTTCACTTTTTTTGGTCATTGATAATTTTTTTGTTTCTGGGTATCATCGCATATTGAAAAAACCCCTCCTAAATGACCGGACAGTGTAAAAAAAGCAGTTGCCAACGTCCGGGTTGTCGTTATCCTGTTGAAAGCGGCATGCAGTGCGACGAGTGCAAAGGCTGGTACCACGAAGTTTGCACGAACTTAACGCCTGCTGCTTTCAAACGGTTCAGTAAGAAGGGTTGTGTGTGGCTTTGTCAACAGTGCTGCTCGGATGCAAACAGCTTGTTAACCGAGGCCATCTCACTGGTTGATGCTGCAAAGAAGTGTTTCAACAAGCATAGTCGGAACGCGTCAAACAGCACTCGATCTGTTGACACGCAAATCAATGTGAGGCAGAAATGGTTTTGCAAACACAGAAACTTGAAAGAAGGTGATATAGTTCTAGTGGCTAACGATGCAACTACTCGGGGCTCATGGCCAATGGGACGGGTTGATAAGTGCGAGACAGACAGAGATGGGTTGGTAAGAACAGTGATGGTGAGAATGAGAGAAGGTGTAGTAGGAAGAGATGTGCGAAAGCTCTGCCTTCTAGAGGGAGCCGAGTAATTGTAGATTGTAGCTTAGATTTATGGATGTACAGGCGTACTGTTGTAAGTCCTGTGCCTCCCATTGATATAGAGCAGTTAGTAAGGAGAGCCATGGCGGAATTGTATTCTAAGGTGTCTTTGCGAAGCTCGAGGGAATTTGAGGGCCGGTGTAAAGGAAAGAGAACAGTGAAAATCCCTCTGCAGCTTCTTTGTTGAACAGTATTTTCATTTATTTGTTCCTTCTCCCTTTTGTGTATTCCAACCTTTGTTTCGATCTCGTTTAACCATGTCTTTTGTTCTTCATTCTTCCCCGTTTGAGCCTTTATTACGTGATTTTGATTAAAGACTTATTTTTGTTACTTAATTTTCTATTGCATGTTGCCGGACCATTGACAGTAAGGTTGTGTTTGACTAAGCTCAAGGTCACGGCGTGGTTCAGTTTGTGACTGTTAGCCTTCTGACTGTCTGCTTGGGAGAATTGCTGCAATCCCTGCAGATAGATATTTGATCCCATCTGATTGGGAATATTTGTATTGATTCTCAGGTATCAAACCCTTTAGTATTAACTGTCTCTTTCATTGTTTAGCGCGCTACTTTGCATTAGACAAACTTCTGACTGTATAGCACAGGCTGTACCGTTTGAGGTATTTTGTATTTTTGATGTAATTTGTTCTGTTTTCTTAATTAGAACCGTTTATATTGAGCACAGAGTTTGTGTTTTGATATAATATAATACGAGTATCTCAAAGACGCGTTGTGGGCTATACAGAGGAACTTGGTCTGGCCTAATCGAATAAATTTTGGGTTCGTCAGTCCGTAGTTCTAACCGAATATTGGCTGTTCGGTCGGTACAGTGAATCTCGCGATGGCTTGAATCATTGTGAACAATGGTATGTCTTAAAAAGTGTACAACTTAACGATAAGTTCCTAGTGCTCTTTAGTTGCTAGCTCAACCATATCTATTATGAATCAATAGCAATCTTAAATGGCACCTACATGCTTCCGTGAAACAAAGTAATTATAATATCAAGTATCAGCAAATACGACTATTAAATTACTTCCATATCTATTTTCCAGCAACGTGAGCATGTATTGAATGGTTATCTAAACCTAATTCCCCACTTAACATTTCACTCTGTTTCAAACTATTCATCATCCTGTAATACCTTTTCCATCGACCATTGCCAACCTGATTACCAACTTCCCAGTTTAATTGTCAAACAGAAATGACATTACCTCAGAAACTTACAATCAGTTTAAGCCATGTATGTTCTGCAATCTCAATGTCATTTTCGATATTTCATGCAATGACAGGCGTATAATTATTTAAAATCATTCAATTTTTGTGGCTCGGTGTGAAGATAAGCTCCACACTTTGCAACACCACGGAATTAGCTGCCAACACCTTGTTTAATCTGGATACTTTTGGATCATTTCTGATTGACACTAATGGCCATATATATGCCAAATGTATTGAATAATCTAAATTCCGAAAATAATCCAGGCGAGTTTAATTATTTTGCTGGATGATTTACCGTTTTTTTGCTTAGGATGTATATGCCTATCAGTATATATATATTTCGATCAAACCAACCATAAAACATTTTCGGTGTTGAAATTTTTCGAAAAATTCATATTACAGCATACCACCATGAAAACGTGTTCTATTCGCAGACTAAACACATTGCATTCAAAAATCCTCTAATATTTCCTAGTTTTTATTATCCTTGCCTATAGTTGATAAACGTCACTGAGCAAATCAACAATTGAGAGTGTGTACCAAAAAATACAAGTCTCAAACTGACGAAGTAAAGATAGCTCACATCAGAGCTGGCTCTCATTACCGTAGAATTCATGTTTCTTTCGATATTATTAGAAATGAGGCTCGCTGCGGTAATGCTGAACATTGCAGGTTAGATACATTGTGAAGTTTTCGTGCCTCTATGTAACCCTTGTGCTCTTGATAGAAGAAAAAAGACAAGTAGTGAATAGGTCTTTATTTAGATCTTCGCGCAGTCACAGTGG